TGTAACAGGTAATATTTCGCTTTCGGAGAACAAGAAACATAGGTTTATTGTGTTACACTTACTAATTTGTGCAGTTATTCAGTGTCTGGTAAGTTAATGCTCAAAAAAAAGCATTAATATAAAATAAAACATCCTATTATTTTATGTTAACGATGACTCATTTATTTCAGTCCTTTGCATTCAGCACGTCTCTATCAAAATAAACCTCTATTTCTATGAAAATTGAAGCTTTTGTTTTTTTGCAGCCCACATAAACTTAAACCTTGTTTTTTTGGCCCGTGTTAGCCTTTGAGTTTGACACGCTTGGTGTACATGTTTTGGGACATGCTGCGTACGAGTCAGTTGCATCTTATCTACCAGCAGCAGCAGCGAGGGGATTTAGAGAAGTGACAACACGTGCAATAGTTCAGCGCATCAAGTAACCAAGAAGCGATCTAACAAGAGACGTCTGCTCTGTTGGGAAAGTGATACAATTTGAAGGCCTCAGTAAATGGAGACATACATCATGTTAGGGAAGGGACACACAGTTCCATTGGTTCATGTCCCCGTGGCGAATCGATGGAGTCAGTGCGAATCCAAACAAAGTCTCAGTAGGGTTTTTGTGAAACGTGTTTAAAACCGATTGTGACATTTACACAGAGGGAAGGAGGCCGAGAAGGACAGGGCCCTTACACGGATGAACAGGGGGGCGGCTCTGGCACTGAGGTGCCTAACAGGCAGGAGACGAAAGTTCACCAGTGGAGTGGGAGGGGCCCTCCAGAACAGACCGGCATGTGGACAAAAGTGGAGTGGGTGGGGGTGGGTTTCAATAAATAACTGGGAAAAAATCTTATCGTTCTGGACGAAGGTAAAACGGGATCCCTGCCTCACACCATACAGGGCTGGGCCGAAGTAGGTTTACAGTGTGAGTACGTGAAACAGAGCTAATACAGCTGCTGTAAGGATCATGACGCGCCCACCTTGCTCCCCACGAACAACTGTCCACCTCCTCTTGCCCACCCCTGTATACAAAAATCGACTCCAGACCCATGAGGACTCATGTCAAGCGCAGAATTTGGAAGTATTAGTAAAATTTAGACTTTTGGGTCACACACACTCTCTGGGCCGCTGCTGTGTGCTGGGCACCATGGGGAGCAGTGTGGTGCCCACATGGCCTGGCCACCCCAAGTGCCAGCTGCCCTGGGCTCTGAGCCCAGGTCCAGCACGGTCCCAGGCCACATGGGGTTGGCTCCTTCAGAAAACTGAACCCAAGCCCTGGCCGGTGTGGCTCAGTGGACAGAGTGTCGGCCTGCGGACCAAAGGATCCCGGGCTTGATTCCTGTCGAGGGCATGTACCTTGGTTGGGGCATGTGCATGAGGCAACCAATGGATGTGTTTCTCTCACATGGATGTTCCTGTCTCTCCCCCTCCCTTCCACTCTCTCTAAAAATCAATGGAAAAATGTCCTCGGGTGAAGATGAACCAAAAAAAGAAAAAGAAAAAGAAAGAAAAAGAAAACGGAGCCCGAGAGCCCAGTGATGGTTCAGATCTCGACCCCAGTCCTCCGAGACCGTGCGTCACCCCCATCCTGTGGAGGAGACCCCGCACTCGGCCACCCCTGAAACTGATGTGACAGAACCCCCACTTCCTGACAACCCGGGACGGGGCCAGGGCACCCCAACCCCGGCTGGGAGCTCAGGCCGGCGGCAGCGTCACGCCCGCTCCCTGCTCCAACCGCGGCCGCTGCCAGGCCCTGAGCCGCTGCCAGCAGACACCCGTGTGGGTGCCGACCCGGCAGCTCCCAGAGAGCATCCCCGCCGCCTCCCTGTGCCAGGCGCACCGGTGGCAGGGCGTGCA